GATGATAACCCATCCAATGGGTGGATGAGAATAATTTATTCTCTGATCTTGTTGTCCGAGAAGTCACGTTTTAAACAAGAGATGACAATTGAAGATTTAAGCCATGCATGTAATTACTATCCGTTACACATATTTTATCCATGTCAAAAGAGAGAAATAAAAAATTATGATCATCCATTTATGTGACTGACCGGTGCTATTTTTCTCATTCTTTGCTTCGCTATAATATTTCTCTATCTATTTCTTTTATGGCCACTTGTTTTTTTTTATGCAAATCAAAAACCAAAAGTCAATTATTCAACTGGAGCTATAAAAAACCGATGCTCTGAACAAAAGCACACACGATGAAAAAAAAGTAAAGCAAAAGAATGTTCTTGATTCTTTTGCAATTTTGGTTGGCGAACCATGTGAATTTATTCCAACGAAAGTCATCGACGTTATATCGACAGACATAATAAACCATAAATTATTGCAGTCATAAAAAAGATACCCAAAATGGCTTTCATCCAAAATGCAAATAGCAATATTTAGAAGACAGCCACCATCAATTCCTTTTGTTTCTAAATACATTCAATCGAATGTCATCCGTTTATTCAAACCAAATTACTCGACTGCATTGTATGTATCAAATGCTGAATTCATACACACACATACACACACCAATGCTGACTGAATACCGTAGCAAATTCAGAGAAACCTGGCGAACCACATTATTCGAATCACATGTTCACCATTTGAGTCTTCTAATTAAAGTGCTTTAAAAAAAAAATAAGCCGTAAAAAAATTACCATCGACTAATTAAAAGCCATCAATGTTGAATGATGACATTTTCGCTAATTATTCGCATCTTAAACCCATGAACGGCCTAAAACGGTTCTATGGTGCGATTATTTAACTCTAATTAAATTGATGAGATCGGCGCGTCGTCTGTATTTCTTGTTCTTATAATTTTGTAGTTCCGCATTACTGCAAATGTTATTTTTTTTCTTTGCTGCCGTCGCTCGTCATGTTCCTTATAATTATGTGATTGTTATTTTTGTTTGTTATTGATCAAATAAAGCAATCAATCGTTGAGGAAAAACCCCGGGCATGAAAATCAGTGAACAAAACGCAAACGGATTCGAAAAGATTGAACGAATTTGATACGAAAAAGACGTCGAAAATTAAAAGGAGACCGAAAACGCTTTTATAGACTTTGAATTGCAACCGCAAGCAGAATTTGTAAAATGAGAACATTCTTTACGATGTGTAGAAGCATTTTTCAGCAAAAACTTTGTAGACCGATAATTATATCGGTGAGCGAATGTACGATGACGATGCCAACAGCAGAGCACATATTAAATTATGCCACAATTTTTTTTGCGGTGATGCTTTGTTCGTTCCATGTAGAAAATAAATTGCAAATTGATCCTGTTTAGATGTAAAAAAAAAACATTCGGATCGAATCGGTATGCATATCCTGGTTCACATCACACACATACACATACTAATGCTATCATCGTTAAAAATTGAAAGACTAAAGAACGTAAAATAATAAGAAAATGAGCTCCATTAAACCACAACTCGCAGATATGTACCGATCAGATCGGTCATTCGAATCGCGTAAAAAGAATCATATTCTCATAAAAAACAACAACATTCAATACATGAAACAATTCATGGAAGAAAAAAGCAATACACGGAACGAAAAATAAAAACAATTTTTGAAAGAAGCTGGCCGAATAAAAGAAGCCCGAGAAATGGAACTTAAAACCAGCAGAACAAACATATTAAACGTATCAGCTGTGGTTCTGTGATGTCATTTAAAAAAAAGAAGAAGAAACGAATTCTTGTGAGTGGCAGTTGAATGCCGGTTACGTTGATTCGCATATGTTTGAATACATTAATATCTTATCATCAATTCAATGGAACCTATGCCTAAACGTTTATTTATACCAACGTTCATCGCATTTGTCTTGCGTGTTTTTTCCGAAAAAAAAAACAAATAACAAATTATGACTGCTGGCTCATGTCGTTCAAATTCTATGTAATCGTCGATCGAAGTTTATTTTATAGAACCGGAGATCAAATTCGATTCCATAGAATCGCACGGCGTAAGCCTGATTAAATGTGGGTTTAACTCTTTACGGCTTCATGGAACACGCGACAACTACAACATATCTAACGCAATTCACACGCATGGTTTTTGTTTTTTCTTCTTCTTCAAAGTGGAATAGATTAGGTAAATAATCGGTGTGTTTGTTGAAACAATCAATTTTAAAAATGATAAAACAACAAAAAGCGCAGTACATGGTGTCGAACAAAATAATCAAGTAAAATGTGGTTTTTGGACAGTTTTGAGTGTGGGGGCGCCATGCAATTCATCACATTCACAAACGCACATACGCCTGCTTATCGTAACCAAAGTGAAAAAAAGATGTGAACTTGTGATGCAAAAATGTTGTCATTCAGTCAATCAAAACACCGAAAAAGCTGAAAAGAGCGAAAGATCGAGAGAGTGAGCGGAGAGACAATGAATATGAACATAAATCTCTTAACACATTAGGACAATTAAGCGAATACCATAAAGAAGCGCGTTTGGCCGCATCCGTGTTGGGTGCGCGTTCAACATACTTATAAAATGAAATTAATTCAGATTTGTTCGCATTGGCATTATTTCGCTTCTCGTCTCTGCTTTTGTGTTTGTTGCTGATTTTTTGGGATTTTTTGTTACTCATCTTTGTTATCTCCGTGATAGAATACAAAAAAAATGTAAATGTTTCGTGTGTTAGGCGACGCAACGGCGTGTATTGGTAATTTCGGTTCGCAACCGTACCATCTCCACTTGTTCTATGATTCCAAATTCTTCAGCAAATTCTTCTTCGGGTTTTTTTTCGCTCTATGTTTTTTTTTTTTTTTTTTTTTTTTGATCAATCAAGAAGAGGCAAACATTTGTTTATCGATACAGTTCGATTTGTGCAAGTCAAGGCACGACATCATGACTCTACTCATTTCTATTTGAACATTTTTTTTCTGTCGTTTTGTGTTTTGTTTTGATTTTTTTTGTCCGTTGCTGTTCATTTGAACTCGTTTGATCTCTCATTATTATAAATAAGCATTTCATTTTGAAGCAATGTGTTCATTATGATTAATGTAGTTAACAAGTATTGAATTTAGAATTAAAAAAAAAAAAAAACAAACAAAAAGAAATAACAAAAAACAGAAGTTGTTGAAAATCATTTATTGTGAAAGGACCTCTGTGTGCGCGCATATAAAATATCAACACCGGTGTTTGATATTTTCAAAATAATTGCCGACAATTAGACTGTTGTGTATTTGTGTGCGATCCATTTAAATGCTAATGAAATTATTCACGCGCTCGCGCACATTCAATTGTGAACACGAACTTTTTAACAAAAGCCACAATCCATAAATACCAAATATTTTACCGTCCATTGACATTAGTGTTTGTATACAAATATCCTAGACGTTCAATATTCGCAAATATTCGCGCCGACAACGAAGACGACGACGACGACGAAAAAGAAAAAAGACAAATACGTGCTATTTGTTACACTAAAAAAATAGTAACAATTTTGAAAAAGATTTTTTCAACCAAAAGTGCAATGCTTGATCGGTGATCGACAATTCATTTTTTTAATCTTTAAAACAATTTATTTATTTATTTATTGAATCGACTGAGCACCATGGGTGTCATTTCAATTACCATACCTGATGCGACTGATTCGAAGGTAAGCTCGATGTGGAGTTCAACATCTGCGCTGTCAAAACGAATAGATATATATTTTTATTCATGATGAATAGCAAAAATGAAAATCAAACAATCAATAAATTTATACGAAAGAACATCAATTTTAGTTCCTATTTTTCAAGCATTAGTCATTCGTTTCCATAAAAACGTAGCAAAAGGAAAAGAGAAGTGTCATATAGTAAATTCACATCCGTGAACATTTGCATTAGCATGAAGTGGCACTTTTAAGGCGCACCAAATATAAAAAGTGAATAATCTTCTTTGGACAGCTCATCCTTTTTCCACGAATCGATTACAAATTGTTCTTGGCGTTGACTCAGTTATTATGAATCCGAAAGATCTGCGTTATGCAAAGTATTCATGCGAGAAGAAAAATTGTTTTCTACGATTTCGCTTTGAATGCGAAAACAGTGGCGAGAATGGAATGCCAACGCATTCTATATGGCTATAAAATGAATCATAAAATGTGAGAATCGATAATGTGACGAAACGAAAACGGAAAAGACTTCGTTTAGTTGAGAATTCAATCGGCATATATAATGCAACTTTGTCTAATAAAATATATGTAATGTGGTCGTAAAGAGTGTTGTTTTGACGTACAACTAAACATATTATTGATGCGTATCAATGTCATCTTTTGTCTTTGTATACATTGGGAGTTCAATGTTTTGCCACTTTTTTTTATTATCCGTCGAATCAATTCGACCGTTCCGCGCTTTATATTAAGAAAAATATGCTTTTATTAAATTTCTTGCTGATGGTGGTTTGTACCATGGTTGAAATATTCGCCAATTTGCATATCCATTGAAATGCATATGATTCAGGAATCATAACTACACACAGCACATTCCATTCCAATTTCATATATGTAAATTAATAGTCAATTTATGTAAATATATTGTTTGTTTTGTGCTGAAATTAGTTGATTTGGATTGGTTAAAATTAACAAACAGTTGAAAACACGATATTGAATCGATAAAATTTGTGTATTCTGGAATTTCTATTTTGTTTTAAGTCAAAATAGGTCTAGAGTTAGGACCTATAGTTGGTATTCTGCACGAATATCTTATCTCCGTTTATTTTATGAATTCATTTTCAATTTGTTGTTTTTTTTCAATCAAAATTGAAACTTGACTGACGATTATCACCTTGAAATAGTTCTTTGATTATTTGTAGCTCGATTTTGAACAACAACAACAAAAATCAAACTTAAATATCATCTGTTTTTTTTTTGTTTCGTTTTATTTAGCCATCTACTCGTCCCGAAACGGATTTCACATTGGACGTTCCACGTGCAGAGCAATTGCGAATCAAAATGCAGCAAGAAAAGAAGTTTCGGTGTCGTTGCCGTTTTATGTTGGCGTTCTTTAGTTTGGCGTTCTTTTTATTGACCGTCGTGATATTTAGTTTGATGTTAAGCCGAGGGAAGCGTATGTTTGGCAGCATGACAATGCCTTGACACATCGATTATCAAATCTATTCTAATTTTGTGTTTTTTTTCTTCTATAATTTGTTTTGAGTAATAATTTGAGAAGCAATCCATTTTATGTAAACCATCGTTTTATCAAACCATAGACATTAAGTTCTAATCTCGCCCAACTACTGAACAAAAAATCACAAAAAAAATATGGAAGAAATACGAAAACTTCATTTAAAATTAAAGCGCCAAGCGCAACCCAGAAAATGTAATGCGCCAAGCGCAATAAAAACGACAAAAAAAAAGAGTTACTAGCACCCGAATCTGTATCAAGCGATAGTAACGTGACGGGATATTATTACCAAATAGGACAATTGTTATTTAAAAAAAAAATTAATTGAAAACAAACAAAAAAGCAATCGAAACAAGATAACCATATGGAATTTATATGGAAATAATATTATTTAATTGACTTAAATTATGAATTTAGAATGTTTTTAGAAAATAAGAAAAAATCGACATTGAATTGAGTTGTATAAAAATTATAAGTGTGAACGAAAAACAAGAAATAAAGTAGACGCCAAGAATATCTTTCTATAGTGGAAAATTTCAAGAATTTTTTTTATACACACACATTAAAAAAACATGTTCTTTTTGTTTGTGGCTTAATTATTATTGTCGTATATTGTGTGATGCCAATTTTACGAAATATATTTTTATAGATTGTAAGTGCATTTAAGCACTAAATTTTCTGATAAACCATAATTTTTTTCTGTGGCAAATGTGAATTATTTTTTCTTCTTCTTCTTCTTCTTCTTCTTCTTCTTCTTTTTTTAATTATTTACGCGTGCTGTTCAGATAGTCTCTGTGTCACCCTGAACAAAACCACGTACAATAAAGAAATCACTTTTCTCGTCGGTTTCTTCAATCATGGCATTGCTTCCTTATTGATGCAGTAGCATTATAATTACCGCTTTTTTATTTGTATTTTTTTCCTTTTTTTTGCAATTAATATTGTGTATTTTTCTTTAGATAAAAACATTTGCGTAGAGAAAAATTCTAATCATTATTACAATTGTCGCATTTCATATAGTTAGCTAATAAAAGATGAAGTGGATAAAAAGAAATGTGCATTTGCTAGGATCATTTTGGATGATTTGTTTTTTGGTTAAAGAAAAAAAAAAAAGCAAATTTAGTATGTAGTTAGTCGTGCTATGTGCAAACATAACAAGGAATGTGTGATGTTAAGATTTTTTTTGTGGTTGTCTTTCATTTTTTTTGTTTTATATATGCTCGCGTGTATGAACTGAAAGAAGCAGCTATAAAAAATAGTAATTAAAAAGTAGCGAAAAATTGCATAGTTAAAATTAAGTGATTAAGAGCAAAAACCGCAAAATCATGCTAAATCGAAATCATTGATTTATTGAATTACAACAACAACAAGTAGTTAAAAGATGAAAAAAAAACAAGAAATGTGCTTACTGTCGATAATAAATTATTATTCTCTAAAATCTATCATTTAAGAAATAAATAATTTCATTCAAAAATAGCTAATCTGCTGTTTCTTTTTGTCATACAATAAAATTAAAATGCAACACTTCCCTTCTAAAGAAGAACAGAACAATAGACTTCGGATGTAAATAAATCGCTAGCAGTGACGATGAAACTATAGACATGATTCAAAGAGCAAGAGTCAGAGAGAAAGAGTGTGTGAATCTTACTTTTCACCTGTTTGAAAGTCAACTGTTTGAATTTCGTAGACAAACAAACAAACAAACAATCCATTTATTAATTTGCATATAAAAACGGCTTTAAATTTATTTGAAAATAATTTATTCAACACTTTTTGCATGGGATTGATTTTTTTTTGTACAGAAATAAAAACAATGAAAAGAAAAATAAAACACCCGACACTTGTTTTTGACATAGTCATTGAAGGCATAATCAAAACAAAAAGGAAATTAACAAATGGAATGATAACAACATCGAATGTATGTATGTGTGTGTGTGTGTGTGGTAGAGTGTTTTTGAAGTCATCGTTTCGTTGTCATCATCAGTACGAACATATATCGTTTCGTCGCTCAAGAATGTCCAATGCCATTAAATTGCTAATGTTAACCACACCAATTTCGGCCAATGCACCTTTCGAATCGCTTTTACTTTTGATGTCATTTTTCAGAGTTTCGGTAAGTAGCATTGCATTTCCTAACGGAAAAACTAATAATTTACAAGCATCGTGTATCCTGAAATGATAAGAAACAAAATTTGTATAATCTTGTTGGTTCACTTTATTTACTTTGTTATTAATGAATTTCATCCAAATAAATTGAATCGATAAAATAAAATTTAGAAGAAAATATGTAATCGAAAAAAGTCGATTGATCAACGTCATCGTGTTAATCAAAAAGCGACACAATGAATTCATTTTTCGTGTATAGGTATGCACGTAAATATGACAAAAAAGGAAAGACAGAGAGACATTTATGTCGAAAAAAACGTTAAACAAAAGAAACGAACACAAGAACAAGAAATGTAAAACTTACTTTTTGAATAGTAAATCAGGTCGTCTGGCATATTGTCCAAATAATGCAAATAGATTACGATTCATATCAAAATCAAATTGTGATGCACCGCCAGTTGAAAATTTCGTATTCATAATCATGCTATCGATGAAAAAGTCGTCCAATTGATGAGCGATTAATCTCAATGCTATATTGAAGATGTTGATCGAAAGTTCAGTTTCGAGGTTGTGCAAACTTGTCACCATTAGCTGTTCGTTTTGTTTTTATTCCAATCGATATTATGCATGCATATTTTTATGTATTGTATTCGCGGTGGTGGTGGTGTTGTTATTTTTGTTGGAATTGGATTTTAAATCAAATACCCAGAAATAAAAAATAAACAATGAAGTTAAGCATGTATTTTTTTTTATAGATAACAGACTTGAAAATAATTCTATAGAACTTGAGTGTCAGTGATAATAAATCGATGGCGATTTATTTTTTCTTCTTTTGTTATATATGCGTCTCATCTCTCATGCTCAACTAAGATCTGGATGAATGGGCACAGGAAAGAGACAAATTCGAAAAATACAAAACAAATCACCAACAGTCGACTTCCGAATGCGATTACATTTATTTCACTGGTGACACGGAAATTGATACTGAAAACGTACCGTCACTTTGACAAATCTTTCTTTAAAAAAAAAAATACCTGAAACATTTCGCCAGCTGTTGATGATAACATAAACGGTTCGAGTGCATTGTGATCAGACATGGAAATCCAATTATCATGACGATAGGCCATTGACTTGGCTTTTATGTCATCAACTAATTTTGATGTAAGCTCTTTCACCAGTATTCGTTGCCATTGTTCCAAGTCATCGACCACTTTATCAAATACCGAATTGATTTCGTCGGTGTGCGGACCAAACAAAGCGGCATACAAATGAAGATAATGCTTGCATTGAAACGGAAAAGAGAAGTGAAATTGATTTTTTTTTAAAACAAAGCTATAATAAAATGTAAATGGTGGTAAAGTGAAATTAAAATAAACGAATGATTCATGCATTAATGACGACCATAATCCGAATTTGATGAAACTATTAGCACCAATCGTTTCACATATGGATTGAAAACTTACAACATTTTCACCCCATTCACGTAGCACCGAATTTATATAGTTAATCGCATTCAAGACCATACACGTTGTGGTCACACCATTCTCTGGATTACTGTGTAAATGGACTAGCCGACGGCGAAAGTTTTCAATCAATTCCAATTGTAAATTTAAAAATTGCAACTGATGACCCGGCTGTGGTAAATTACAGTAACGTTCACATATTGCATCTAACAAACGAATAAATTGATCGGCACATCGTGGTATTTTTAATTCTTCCAAATTACTTGGATCGATAAACAACCATGCTGACGATTGTGATAAAATTAAATCCATTTTATCTGATGTAACTGCATTTGAAAATGTAAAGAGTTTTCTTCATTTTATATATTTCGTTCAAAATAAATTCAGTTGAACTTACATTGTTCTTCGATAGCCAGCCATTTAGTCAGGTACTTTGCTTGTGTTAAAACAGTTATTGCACTGCAATAGCTGCTTGGATAACCAAGTGTATCACGAATTTCTTGCTCAAATGCCAATGTCTCATCGATTAAATGCGAAAATAGAGCATCATTTTCAACAATTTCATCGATATCGTTACATAATTTTTCTACCGCCAATTGCACCAAACCACGAACAAACTCCAGCTATTTAATTACGATTTTTTTTTTAATTAGCATTGAAATTTGATGAATTTATTATTAATTTAAACAAACCCGAATATTGATATCCGAATGACCGGCAAGATTTAGAGCCGGTTGAATGTGTGTTCCAACAAAAATATGATTATCTTTGGCCCAATTTAAAATCTGCGTAAAAAACCATTCCGGCTTATCTGGTCGATTTGTTTGCCGTGGACCAGTGAAGTGATACAAAAATCTATTGAATTTTTTTTCGAAATAAATAAATTCCGTTTTGAAAATGAAATCTTACATCTTTACCTTTGTCGAAATGGTTTTACAAGCAATTCTACTGGTGTACTTAATGGCTGGCACAAAATTGATGGCGTTATCGATATAAATGAATCATTCTTTTCTTCTGGCGATTGCAGCTAATAATAATCACACATTATTTCATTTTGTAAATTAGAATGAACTAAAAATTGTTTTCCTTTTCTTTAATTAAAATTAAGTTTTAATGGGCGTTGAACGTACCAAAAATAGATGTTCCGCCGCTGACATTAATTTATTAAGCGAATCCTTGGTTGGATTGATAAGCTCGGTAGATGCTGAACCAAGGTATGGCCATTTAATAACATCCAATACCGATTCAAAGTCTCTGAAATGGAAAACGGAATTAAATTTATTTTTATAGTGACAATTTAATCATTACATATAAACAAACACATTTGATAGGTCAGTAATTTTTAAGGTGTTTACTTACTTGGATAATTTCTTCTTTAGAATTTCATACCAATAAATAGCTGTTCGTTCTGCGTATGATCTTAAATTAACTGCTTCAACACTTTCAAGCCGGCCAATAATACTGTTGGCTGAATCGGTGCCGCCATACAGTGACAAATACAATCCGATCGCTTTTTGATCATCTTTTATATTGGCCGCTAAACTTTTGCTGAACAAAAATTATAGATTTAAAGATTAAAATCGATTCCATTGTTTAATTCATTCAAATGTATTACCCAATTTCCTGAATGTCATTTAAAATTTTAAAATACTCGACTAACAGTTGCAAACATCGTATTTTATCTAATTGTTTGGTAACGCCATCAAGAATGCTATGATAACCGTCTAGTTTTTGGATAAGTTTCTCTTGAAATTGATCAATTTTTGCGGTTTCCAATTGAATAATTTCGTTCGAATCACGACATTGTGCCAATGCCGATTTAATAGTTGATGGTATTCCATTGCCTTCAATCAGAAGCTTGAAATTCAAATTGAGTGTTTTTGATAAATGCCATCAAAAAAAAAAAAAATGAAAATCCGACTTACTTCTGCTTCGATTTCGCCAACACGTTTTGCATATTCGCTACTGATTGCTTTGCAATTGTGTAAATTTTTAATATCGCTACCAATATCACGATTTATTCGTTCAATCACACTTTTTGCAACATCTTTCATTTTACTCCCTTTACGTTCGAAACACCCAAATCCAATGTAATGTTCACCAAACAAACGGATATTTAAAAAAACCGATCCTACGATCACCAAAATGTTTTCTTAAAAAAAAGAAACACTATACACATGAAATGTATGTAGAATTTAAAATTAAATAGTATAAAATTAGGCAAACGGTAACATTTATTGGTTAAACACAACGAAAATGTTTGGAATCTATTTTTGTTAATAAAAACATTGAAAATGGATTTAAAAAATTGACTTGAAATGAAAATAAAAATGGAAATTCGGTTCAAAGAGAATATTTATGTTTTGGTGACGTTTAACTTTGGATTGAACATAGTACAGCAGATTCATTCAACGTCAAAGTTTTGACATTTAACCGTCATACTGCATGGAACAACACATGCCGCACATGCGACATGCGACCGTTTTGTCAATGACAATAAAGTTCACTATTGAATGACGTTTTTCTTGCTAGCATGACATTTTTCAACATTTCAAATTTAGATGAACTAAATTTTTTGAAATTGATAATTTGTTTTTCTTTCAAAATGTGAATATTTATTTCAAAAATGGATATGTGTGTTACAATTATTTAAGCTAAAAGTCAAAGTATTTCTAATAAAGATCTCAAGTCGTTGATGAAATCTAAAAAATGAATAATTTAAATCAAATTGACAAAAAAATACAAAAGAATTTATGGTTTTTTGAAACTGTATTTGGCCAATTTTGCGATACCAGATCGCTCATTGTCTTCAGTATTGATTTTTCGCTTGGCATTCAAACCATTCGATTTTGTGGAATCATCGGTTGTGTTGTGTGCACTGGTTGGTGTTCCATTTGATTTACCCGAATAAATCTGTTTGTATTTGCCCATTGCAACTTTTGTTAGTTCATTTGGTGTCAAACCGGGATTATCTCGCTCAAATTCCGCTCGATTTGCATTATAATAGTCTATAAATGGTAGTTTTGTTGTCTGAAATGATGTGTGAAACATTTTTAATTCTTGTCAATAAAAGTTTTTTTTGTAGTTGTAAAAAACAGCATGAACCCACCATTGGCTTGGGACTGTTAGTGTCTGTATTTTGATTTTCTTTTTCTGTATCTGGTGCACTCGGTGGCAACGAATCAAACTCCATATCTTGTGTTTCTTGTGAATCAAATCCAATGGCTGTTTCGGTCAAATGTTTGAAAGCACTAGGACCTGATTTTCCACTGCTTGTTGGTGTCTTCTTGAACGGATTACGTTTCAATTGGCTTATTGAAAGTGGTTTCTGTGGAAGAAATGTTACATATGTTTAAGTCAGTAATGTGCGAAGGGGAGGGGCTTCAAAATTCTTCCGATTTGCTAGGGATTTTCGTCCAAAACGAAATTTTTCTCTATTTCCTAGGGTTCTTTGAAGAACATTTTGAAAACACCGCACCCCCCCCCCCCTGGAAAATTTTGCTCGCACATTACTGGTTTAAGTCATAAATTATTGATGACTCAATTCGAATTATTTCCGAAAAGATGTCTAAAAATATAAATACCGGTATAACCGTTGGTGTTGAATTTTTGCTTTGATTTGACCGTATCAAATTTTGTGCGGTGGGTGTGCTCAAGAGAAGTTCACTGGCTGCTTCGTTTTCATCATATTTTTGTCGTTCTTTTTCTTGTTCCTCAAATTGTGGCAGAAGTTCACCTAATTTTTCGGCCAAATGAATGCGGCCCAATTTGCTTGCGTATTTTATAACCAATGGCATGAGTGATGGCAATGCCAGCATCTCAATAAGTTCTTTTGCGCGTAGTTCAGATTCCGAACGACATGCAATCTATAAAGTTAAATAATAAATAGAATTTATTTGGTTTCGAAATTTGATGGTGAAAAAGAGATGGTCACACATACCGCAAACAATTTGATAGCAATTTCCTTGATATTTTTATCGGCATCGTCGACATTAAAGCAACTGTTGCGTACCAATGCTTCTTCCAATTTTGATTGTTCGGCTTCAATATCACAAACTGGCATTTCCATTTTCAACTCGGAGACCATTGGTTTGGGTGTTGTCAGTGGATATGATGAACCACGGCATAAAATTGAGCGAACAATTTGTGTTGATTCCGACACCTCGATGATAAAATGATTGTCTGATGCGCCTTTTGTATGTAAACTTGTGTCGCACACTGGAAACCAATGATTCGATCGAATTGAAAACATTCGAAGCATTCCCATTGTATCGCATGTTACCGGTGATCCTTTATCGGAAAAACCGATCCATGTGAGTTTTGAATTTGGTGTAAGTGTTACTTTAAATTCACGGCAACGCAAACTCAAGCCAATCGTTTGGATGAGCATCATTGAGATGTGTTGATCTTCCGATGCAGCCGCACTGTGATAAGCAACAATGATACGATCGTCGTGAGCGGCAACAGCAACAACTGGACCTGGCAATGAAACAATTTCACGTTGTGTTCCCAATGCACTGAAAATGCGTAAAAATCGTACATCGGTTGCAACAACAACCAATTTTGATGAAGCCGCAACACAAAGAATCTCCTCACAATTTGGCATCGACAATGACCATTCACGACTTCCACCTGAACCTCCCAATATAATGCACACCAATTTGCTGGGCGTTTCATTACACAGTGCAAGAACCGATGAACTTAAACTGGCCATTGTATGATTTAAATGATTTACCATGTGCAAACCATGATGAATGCTCGCATCATGGAATTCAACTTCAATCGAATTCTCAGATGATGTTGTATGCGCACGTACAATACCAATATGATTCCATAGCATGTAACGATGTTCTAATGTTTTTGGCGTTTCACCCGGTTGAAATGGTGACTGTAAATCATAGGTTTTTGCATAATGTGCCATCGCTGTACTACGACCATCACTTTTAACATCATCATTGTCGTCATTCATCGCACCAGTTTTTATTGAAGAACCTTCGAGAAACTCATCGATCTCATCATCAATTGTCTTTTTCATGGTTTCATTTTTTAACTTTTCCAACGATACACAATTCTCATTATCGATATCATCTGGATCGTCGGGAAATTGAACTAAAAAAAAAAAACGAAATTGATTGAAAATAATAAAGAAAAATGGCCAATAATTTGAATGCAGAAAATAAAAACTCACTTTCACCAAAATCAATATCCTCGTCCATGCCATTCTCTTCTTCACGCTCAATAACATTCTCATTGTCATCAGTTATGTTTTCAACCAAACCAAATTGGCCAGTATTATCAGTGTATGCAAATTCACCATTATTACTTGGATTCCAATCAATGGCCGTAATACATTGTGCTTCATTATCCCCACTTTTATCCTCTTGAATTATTTGATTTGCATCGATATCCCAAATGGAAAAATCACCATTTTCATTACCAGCCGCTATATACTTGCCACATTTTGAATATGCACATACGCTGTACTTTGATTTATTCTAATTTAAATGTGATATATTGTTTAAAAAAATGCATTACTATTATCACAATTTAAAAAAATCAATCAATTCAATACTTGTTCATCAGTCAGCGTTTTCTTCACCGCCCAATTTTGTGTGTCGACAATAATAATGCTTTTATCCTGATTGTATGCCATGAATTTGCCATGTTTCGGTTCAAATGAAGGTGTTACTGTCATTCGAAAAAGTAAAAAAAAAGAAATTAAAATCAGTTTTCCGCAAAAAATTGTCTTATCGACACAAAAGTCATACCATAAACTTGCGTCATTTGATAGCTTTTAATTTTGTCAAATCCGGAAATGGTTTTGATGCATTTTTTCTCGTCAAGATTCCAAATTTTAATGGTTCCATCGCCAGAACTAGACACCAGTAGGTTATTTCTGCTTAAATCGATTCGCAAAACCGGACCAGTGTGTTCAGTTAGTTCGAATGGTTCCATAGACGTATCTCTTAGCTTTACTTTAATAGTCATATCTTCTGAACACGCCGCCATATACTATATATGCGATACATTAAAATTAAATATGTAAATGTATGTCGTACGTACATTCCGTCTATATAAGGTTTCGAAGCTTACCTCGGCATTGACTTTGATGCAAGTAATGGGAGCTGAGAATCGAAATTCGGTACCATCACGGTTGTATTCTGGATATGTATAGGCTTGGACCGTATTCAAATCGGTGGATGTCAGAATGCGCTGCTCATAATACACATGATACAAAATGAATTCACCAACACACTGTGTATTCGGATCATCATCATCTACACCGTTCCAAATGCGAATGTCACCATCTGACCCAGTTGTGATGACATGCCTACAAGTTCAATTATGTATATACAAATGACCATCCATGAATGATAATCTAATTATCTTACTCTCCGTTTTCCGTGTAACAACAGTGCGATTGACCATTTGTATGTGCATAACGCAAACACGATCGTTTGTATGGCATTTTATAAATTGTTAACCACGATTTTTTTTTCGTAATTTACATAAAAATTGCAATGAGCTACTTCACAAAGAAAACACAATTGAATGTCAACGCCAGAATGGGAATTCGCGCCAATTTTATGTATTCGCTCTTGAATTTGTATTTTAAGGTTAATGTTTTCACATCGTTTCCGAAAGATGGCGCGTACTTCACATCAGAAAATAAAATCGTCTTATCAGATAATTCGAAAAAAAAGAAACGTTTTTAATTTGAAGTTTTCTTCAAAAGTTGTCATATTTTTTTCAGTGTGTAACAAACAAAAAAATGCAAACCATGATAAATAGGCTACAAAATGCATAACACTTGACGTGAACAACAAAATTAAATTAAAATTGATTTGGATGCTAATTGGCTTAACTTAACCCCATCTGCACGTGAAATTTGGTAATATTTTCCTTTTTATCTAGACGCATCTACTGAGATTTGGCAGTGTATACAGAAAAAGACAAATACATTAACGCTGTATACCATTATTTTGTTCACTTTGATTTAGATTGTATTTAAGTCACCATTTATTTTTCTCTCGTTTGCCCAACTTGATTTATCTTCAAAAATTAGTTTTGTGCATTATTATATTTAGCATTTTATCGGAAATTTTTATTGTGCAGTTCGTGAATATAAATAAAGTAAAAATTGTCACTCATTTTTAAATAATATTTCGTGAAATTCGAGGGAAAAAACATGTCGGGTATGTTTAATATTGGTTATTATGCAGCTATTAATGACGTACATCGTTTTTTTTTTCGGAGAAATTTGTCTTGATATCATATATACAATCGCTTGTTGCGATTCATCCGGTTTTTACTTTGTTATCGAAGAGTATTTTGTTTGCAAATCATTTCTTGTATGTCGAAAAATATATTGAAAACATTAAAAATATCAATATATTTTCAAGTATTGAGCATTTTCATCAATTTAAAACTGTCGACACATCAATTTCTTCATGTTTTCATTAAGTAAATATCATCTGACGGCCTAAGAAGAAAACAATAACATACAGAATATTCTGCAAAAAGACGAATACAAATTTATGTGAGCAAAAACCAAATATACAAACAGACAGCGCAAAGGTAAAACAGCCTACTTACATAAGAAACACTTTTCTTCTTAGGCCGTCATCTATGTGTATGTCGGTGTTTACTGATAAACCCATATAATTAGCAATATAATGATGAAATTCAGTTGCGGGATGCCATGACTCATTACTGATGTATACAATTCGTTGGAACGTCAATTGATTGGAATTTCATTTGTTATGGGCAAAGCCTAAGTAACGTTAGAAATACAAATGACATACAGACGCTGAATATTGTTTTCTCTAAATTAGATCTGTTGGTTTTGATTTAAAATCCAACATTGCAAACGCAAACCTCTTTTATTTGACGAATTCCTTTTTGATGAAGAAAATTTGAAAAGAGTTATTCTTATTCTTTGAAGTAAACATAACGAAACGTTTTTTGCTCCCATTGAATTTCAGACCAAAAATCATATGCACCGCCACCAAATATGTATGGACCACAAGATACGGACAATAAATTCAATGGTGGTCATCCAAGTCAAGCTGGATATGCACCACAACCAGGTTTCGCCCCATATGGATATCCATCGAATAATGTACCACCCAGCAACTTGCATGTGCCAAACCAACCCGACACCGATCCAATTGTGAAAGGTTTTGAATTCAGTACAGAGTCGATTCGACGGGGATTCATTCGTAAAGTGTACGCCATTTTATCGGTAAGAAATCCAATGTTGTTTTGAGATTTTGCATCTATAAGCCAATGATGAATGTTTTGTTATAAAAATTTCATCATTTTTTTAGGTTCAATTGTCGTTCACATTTCTCGTTGTAATGTTGTTTGCCCATCACTATCCAACAAGAATTTTTGCTTTTCAAAACTTTTGGCTGTTTATTGTGTCGATGGTAATGGTTTTCGTTACAATAATCACGTTGAGCTGCTGCGAAGGTGTGCGACGTACATCCCCAAGTAATATGATATTCTTGGCCCTGTTCACGGTGGGCGAATCAATTTGTGTTGGATATGCCACACTGTCATATCCTCCAGATGTGGTAAACATTCACTATTCACTTATACGATAATTTTCGAATTTTTAAATGTAAAAATCAAGTGCTACATTTTACTTTTAAATTGTAGGTGATGATTGCAATTGGAGCGACTGCTGTGGTGGTTATTTCATTGACCATATTTGCAATGCAAACAAAATGGGATTTTACCGTGATGGGTGGTGTTTTATTCGTGGCACTTATGTTGTTCGTTGTGTTCAGTTTTGTGCTCATGTTCACACGGAGTGAGATTGCTCATTTGATTTTCGCAGGAATCGGTGCTTTGCTCTTCTCCATATACCTGATTTGTAAGTTCACTGCAGACACATATACATTTTTACAATTTTATTAAAAACTGTCATGACCTTGAATTCATTTCAATCACCATGACAACCAATGTAAGTGTATACCATGCCATTGGCCACGATTTTTAACTTGTTTCAATTTTATATTCAACAGATGACACTCAAATGATAATGGGTGGCAACCACAAATATTCAATGAGCCCGGAGGAATACGTATTGGGTTCCATTACGTTGTTTTTGGACATTATCAACATTTTCTTGTACATTTTACGTATTGTTGGTGCAGCCACTAAGAACTAAATAACAATAAGCATGTGCATGCCTAAATACAAACCTACCCCATTTTGCAGTTTTTTCTAATTGATTTTTTTTTTATATATAAAAAATATTCAAGTCATATTAACATAAAGAAACATCAATTCAGGTGAATTCAAATTTGAAAAATATTGTGAATGTCATAACATAGTCTTTTTTGTAATGTTTACAACGAAATATTACATTTTACTAAGGACAAAATACTAACTAATAAGATAGCATACATACATACATACATGCACAACGATTACTTTGACAGTTATATTGAGTTGTTTTGTTAGCATGCCTGTTTCTGATTCATAATCGTTATCGTTTCAATGGGCCTTATATAGTATATTTACATTTACAATTGGCACTCATTCTTCTCGTATCTTCAGAGGGCGAGATTCTAAAAAAAACACACACACACACTCACATCATAATGGTTATGAATTGAAACAGTAATTCAAAACAACTTTGAATAGAGTATCCGGGGTTCCAGTTTCTCTGGCATGGTATGAATTTTTAAATAGGGTATAAATTTGAAACAGATCCCTCTCAAAATTCAACGCATTTTGATGTATAGAACACTTTTATCTTCGTTGATTACAAAGCATTTCAGAGTGATAGCTTACATGTGTATATTGAAACATTGAAATTGTCTTATTTTTACAAAACAGAAAGAAAATAAAACCATCAGGATAATAATGTGCTTGAAAAAATAACACATAGTTAGAGAAGATATTTTGATGTAATTCGAAACCAGTAGTACATTGCCAATGGTTTTTACTCCATTTATAAATGTGAAATAATATTAAAAAGCTCTTAAACTTAATACAATTATACAATGGATATAATTATAACAAATCATTTCGTCAAAGATTTAATTTATAATTTCTCTTCAATGGTTATAAACTAAAATGTATGTAAACGTATTTAAAATAAAAATAATTCGGTTAGAATAAAAACCCGTCTTAAGATAAAAATCTGTATTCCACTTTTACGGATTTCGATTTCAAGTCGGGTTTTTATTCTAGCTCATTCAAATGTATGCAATAACGAAATAAATATTACGCAAAAAAAAATTGCATTTGTTCTTTTCTAATTTCATGTTGTTAAAAGTAGCCACTTTCATTTTCAACAAATTAAATTTGACCTCAAATATTTAAGCAATCGTACATATTTCATCGTCATCTGTTTTGACCTTTGCTTCATTTTGTTAATTACAATATTTTATGATATCAACTTCCAAGCATGCTATTCTTCTTTTAAATATGATATATAAGTTTATATTTTTGCTCATTCTTAAGTTTGCAATTCTGTGATATGTATTATGTGTATAAATAGATCGAAATAAAATCAGTAGTACTATTTTAAGCTGCAGTTAGTATCTTTTTTGTTGAATATGAACATATTTTTTTCATTTCTACACACAAGAAATAAACCTAACAAATCATTTTAGGATTCCTATTAAAATATTAATTTGTAAGGTTTCCTTATAATAAGAGAACATAAGGAAACCTTTAAATAATAAAACATGTTTTGTTTCAATAGTGAAGTTGGATTTGACGTTTGGCGCGCCAATTTATTAGGATTCTTGTTAAAATATTGCGATTTTATAAGCAAACTTTACAAATTCAATTTTGGGCCGAAATTATTCGAATTTGCTAGGGTTTTTCCATTTGAAAAGTGAAGACCTTTTTTTTGTTTAGCTCATCAATGTAGAAAATTCAGGAAAATTCTTTTAATTTGCTAGGATTTTTCGAACGTGAGAGAAATTTTTCCTATGTCCCAAAGTTTTTCGCAGGGAAAATTCTTTCGATTTGCTAGGAATTCTCGCCAAAATTTCGAGAATTTTTAGTTTGCGAAAAATCAACCCCCCTGTAAAATTTAGCTCATACATTATTGTTGTAAATCATTTTCTCTGGAAAAGTCAAGACCTTTTCTTTTAGCTCTTCACTTTCCCCAAGAAAATGTTTTACACATAGAATGGACTTTTCAGAATTAATTGCTTGCTTTGATTCACTGCGATTTTGTATAAATTGTATTACGCAACAAAGAGTTTAAATCTCAATTTTTTCGGAAGGTGTTTGCTTAACCCTTAACCGGGCAGGTCAAAATCCAAACGTTATCGGGCAAGTGGGGCAATCAAGCAGCAATTTTCTACATGGGAGCCAGTGGATCCACACCAGCCAACTCACCGATCAAAATCAAAAAACACGTGCGATGCCCAGGCACTCGCAAACTGATTGCAGCCATCATGAAACGTGGAAATTGTATCGTTCGGATGGTCGATGAGTATATGACATCACAACATTGTCCATTGTGCTTCAA